TTGCCTGCGGGTTGACGACTTGCACAGCCCGTTGGCAACACGAAGCCTTCCCGCCCGGTGAAGCCTCAAGCGTATGACATCTCATCCTAAGGCAAAACGGTGCTGTTCCAGCAGAAGAGGTTCACTTAAACCTCGTGTAAAAATCTGAATTGTTCGCCACCATCTCTTTGCTCCAGACGAGCCAGATGCAGGAGCCAGCGGTGCTGAGCAGAGGCGAGACCTGTGCTGCTGCTGCGGTAGCCGACCCCAGGCTCTCTGTAATGTTGGGCTGCTTTGCAGACGCTTGGTTAAATGGTTAGCGTTTCCAGAAGCAGCTGCCTTGGTTTTGGAGGCAGGGGCCCGGAGGCAGGGCTGTGCTGCGAGAGACACGCGGTTGCGTTGGGGTAACGCGCGGTGCCGCGCACCTGGCAGTTCTCCGGAGAGCCGCCGTATGTGCTTTGCATTAACCGCAGGGTTATGCAGGCTGCATTTGCATTGCGAAAGCAAACATGCAGTGGCCCACCGGTGCTCTCCGAAATACTTAAAAAGGTAAGAGAGGGGTCGCTGCGAATATTCTGCCGGCTGGATTTGATGCTTTTGGTTTTTCTCTTGCACCTGTGAAGCGCTGTAAATATAGGACGATTCTGGTGATACCAGTTATCCAGAGCATTTGCATAAATGATATTGCTGTTTGCCAAAGTATTGGGCGAGTAGGGCAAATTGAGCTGTAAGCATGCAGCAGTTTTGACTCTTGAACTTCAATGTAAAATATTTTTGAAATGTTAGTTGCTAGAGTTGTGAAGAAAATTTCCAAAGCCGCTCACGAGTAACCGACGATAGTTATCGATGTGCAGAGCCTGGAACAACAGCTCTGAGACACGCGAACTGCTTCACGGCAGGATGTGCCGTGCCAGATGCCAACACGCAAAGTTTTAGCCACCGCCGCGGGGGGGTTCAGGGCTCCCTGCGTGAGGAGCCAGCACATCGCAGAGGCGTCGAGCGGCGCTTCCCAGCGCGGGGCAGAGCGCAGCCACGTGGACTAAGAAAAGCCGATGTTGCAAATGCATACTGTAAGGTGACGACGAGGCAAAATCCCGTGATTTATTGGGCTGGTGCTTGTGCCCGGTCCCGTCAAACCTGACGGGCTAATCGAGGCGAGGCAGGACCGTGCCCGCGTGGCTGCCGCTTCGCGCGACTCGGAAACCCCTTGGGAGGAAGAGACCCCGAGCGTCCCGGCGCACCGGGGCCCTTCCCTCCGTATTAGATGCTGTCGCCTCTTTAGCGGTTTTGGAAGTTCTTCCTCGTTTTGACGGGCTGTCGCTTGGTGATTTTTGGTCGGGCTCCTTTGTCGCCCTTCCCAGGCAGAGCTTTTTCCCTTATGTCTGTCTAAGCAAAATC